GCCTTCTCTCCTCCAATCTGGACACCGTGGCTGATGTCCCACCCGCCCGGCTCGCCCTCTCCAGCAGCATCCCCAGGCCTCTTCACACTCCTCCCCTCCACCCCAGGCTCTGATTTTCCCGAGGAGCTGGGCCCCCTGGAAACCCCATTCGGGCATGTGGTTTGGCCCAGGCAAATTGCTGGGCCCCATCCGCTAAAGGAATATTCTAAAATTCACCTTCCTTCCAGAGCCTCTATTCCAGCTGAGCGTGCCTCGGTAGCAGCCCTTCATTCACTCAGAAAACACGGGCTTTCAGGCGCTGTCTTTCTTGACTCTCCCCAACCCCCAAGGACCCCTCCAAAGCTGGCTACATCTGTACCACCCTCACCTGCTTCTCCAGGAACCAGAGACATGCTTCCTGTGCAGGGCCAGCTTGCTCACCTGCCCTGGGCCGTGGCCCTGCCTGCGCTGTGCCCCCACCATCGTCCTCTCAGACCTTTGTCCTCCCCCGCTCTCTTCGCTGGGTTTCTGGCCCCATCTCTTTCCCCTTCACTGCTACACTTCTCAAAATAACAGTCCTCACTTCCCTTAGTCTCTTCCTGGCATGTCCCTGCCCTTATTGCCCCCAACCTTTCTACCACTCGCTCCTGTTTCATTTTCTGTGTCTCCTGATTCTTCCCTACTTCTCGGGTGACTCTCTCTCTCCTTGTGTCTGCCCCAGGCCACCCTGGTCTGCTCATCCCTGCTGCACTGGTGTTCTGGAAGGCGCCGTCTCTGTTTGCTGCTCCTCTCTCTTCACTGCTCCCTGGTGAACTCACTGGGCATTGAGCTGCCATTTACGTGATGGTGCCTTAAAACAGCACGTCTGGATGTGCAGCCACCTGCTGGACATCTCCCACCTGAAAGACCTAGAAACATCTCAGCCCTTTGGTGTTAAAACTGAGGCCCTCATTTTCATACAGACTAACTGCTCTTACTCAGTTCTCTAGCTCAGTGGGTGGCAGCCACTCTTCTACAAAACCAGAAACTGCGGTGTCATCCTAGGCTCACCCATGTCCCTAAGTCCCACATCCAGCTCACCCTGTCTGTTCTCACAGCCACTTCGTCATTCAGACCTCCTCATTTCTTGCCTTGGTTCTGCAGAGCATTCCATGGAATCTCACTGCCTTTAGTCTTGTCACCTTCCTGTCTGTTCTCAATGCTGCCTTCACAATACAAGCCTGACCCTGTCACACCTTTGTTGGCCTCCCTCTTCCCAGAGGGTCTCAGCCTGGCTGATTGGCCCCCGACTCTCCTCCTCTGGCTCATCTCTTGCTGTCACAGGACTTGCCCTTCATCCTCGGGAATCTTTGGCATACACCATGATGTTTCTTCTGCAAGGAATGTCATTATCACTTTTCTTTTCTGTTTTACCTTCTCATCTTTAAGACTTGGCACAATAACCGTTTTTCCCAGAAGTCTTTTCTATCCACTGCTTCTTCTGGGCTCACTTTGACACCTGTGCCTTTGTCCCTGTACTGATCTCGTACTGGGGGTTGTGTATTTATTTCTGTCTCCCCTGCTGGACGCTGTGTTCCTTGAGGGCAGGTTCTGTTTGACACCTGTCTGTCTCCCCAGCTTCCAGCTCCAGGCTGGGAACAGAGTGGAAGATTAGGACATATTTGGTGATTGAATGAATGAACTAGTTAATAAAAAATGCACATCTTTGCTGACATCCTGTCATGAGCTCTTGCTTCATTTCTGTCTCTCTTTTCTCCTCCAGGTTACAAAGAGGACAAAACCAAACCAGGTGGGTAGGGTGAGCCCCTTCTACAGGAAAAGCTTCAGCTCCTGGGAGGGTATGGTCTGAAGGGAGTCACATAGATCATGTTTCTGGGTCTATAGGAAGCAGGAATTTAGTCTAAAGGGCCTGCTTCCGAGAGAACTGCCTGTAGCTGCCAGAACATACAGACCTAACAGTCCAGAGGAAAGAGTATCAGGGCCTTCCCTGGGAATGCTGAGCCTCTTTGAATTCATCCCAGGTTGTATCCCATCAGGGGACATATCTAGGAAGCTGATGCAGTCCCTTTTCCACACAGAAACCTTTCAAGCTCTAAACTCTTCAGCTGCAGATAGAGACTCTCAGGCTCTGTGGTGGTGTCTGCAGAGCCTGGCTCTTTGGGGGTTTCCTGTCTTTTCCCTTAGAAAAGGGATGGAGCATTGGGTTACTTCTGTTCTTCAGTTCGTGAGCCTCGATTGTCATAGGTCCTGCCAGCTTGCCACCTGATTCATTATTTATTGTTTGACTGATTGATTTAGTTATCCCAACTTGTATCCAGGCCCCACTCCCATTCCCCTCAACCTTTCTCGTATGTTCGATGTGGACCTTTCTGTTTGTGTGTGTTCTGTTTAACATACATATTGCTGTTTTGTGTGCATGTATTTTTAATTTATGTAAATTGTGTGTACTCTAGATCTGTTTCTGTTTCCTCCTCTTTTAATTTCCTGTTAAGAAAATTTTTTATTTGGAAATAATTTTAAATTTATAGAATGTAAGTAGTACAGGGAACACATATACACATTTATTTTAGTATCATTTGAAGGTAACATGCGGCATGGCTCTTTATTGCTCGGTACTTTGGTGTATATTTTCTGAGAATATTCTCTTACATAACCACAGTGTACTTACCAATTTCAAAAGTTTACATTGATACCATAATTCTATCTACTACCCATATTCCAATTGGCCACCCCTCCAAACTCCTTCCAGCAGTGTATGAAGGTGTATATATTGCCACAGACCTACCAACCCTTGGCATGATCCAGCTTTTACATTTTTTGCCAATCTAATAGATAAACAAAATGACTTATGATTTGATTTGCTTTTTTCCCATTACGAGTGAGTTTGAACTTGTCTCAATATCCTTTTGGCTTTTTGAGTTTCCTCTTCTAATAAATTGCTTGTCCTTCTCTTTTAAATATTGTCTGTTCTTTTTTCTTGTTGATTTCCTAGAGTTCCTTGCATATTTCTAATAAAAGTCTTGGATTGATTTTAGATATTGCAAATATTCCTTCCCAATTTGTCCTCTGCCTGTGAATCTTGTTCCTGGGGTCAAAACTCCTTGATTTTGATGTAATCAAGTTAGTCAGTTTATGCTTTATGGTTTGTGTTTTGAGGTTTTGTTTAAGGAGTCCTTTCCCACCCTATGTCACATAGTTTGTTAACTTTAGAGTTTTACGTTTCACCTGTAGGTCTTCAAGTGCTATTAGCAAGGAATCTAGTTTTGTTTTTCTTGTTTCTTTTATAGTGAGCTGGTTTCCCAACACCATCTACTCAATAGTACTTCTTTTCCCCACTGATCGTGGTGGCTCCTTTGTTTACATCAAGTTCCTGTAACACATGGAACAATCTCAAGCTGTCTATTTTTTTCCATTGGCCCATTTGTCTGTCCTGGCAACAATACCACACTGGTTTTGTTATTATGGCTGTCGCATCTGTTTTCATATCTGCCAGGACAAGTGGCCCTTCTTTGCTGTACTCTTTCAAAGACTGAGCTATATGTGGATGTTTGTTTTTCTGTTTCAATTTTAGAGTAAGTTTATCAAGTCTCCTAAAAAATCTAACTTGCAAAATGAATTTATCGATATTGGGAAAAATTACATCTAACATATTCAGTTATTCTCTTTAAGAGCAGACAATGTCTCTCCCTTTTTGCTTATCATTTTCTGTGTCCTTAATTATAGTTTAAAACGTATTACCACAGAAGTCTCATATGATGTTAGATAAGTTAATTCCTAGGTACTTTATAATTTTTGGCTACTGAAAATGTATTTTATCTTGAATATATTTTCTAGTTGGTTGTGCTGGGATAGAGAAATGCTATTGATTTTCGAAGTGAATTGTTTTATTCAAATATTACATGCATTACACAAAAGTGCACACCGGAAGGTCCAGCTCAAGGAATTGTGTGAAGGAGTAGGACAATAGCAACACCCTGAAGCCCCCTGTGCTCTATGCATTACTTCCTCTGCTCTCCTCCTCACAGAGGATCCTTCTTACTGGCCTCTGATGGGATAGATTCTTTTTTGCCTGTTCTTTAACGTTTATATGATGTTTTCTGTAGGTTTGCAGCATATCTAACTTTCATAAGGTTAAGGATTTCCTTTCCATTTCTAGTTTAAGTAAGAAGTTTTTTTTTTAAAGTCATAACATGTTGCATTTTTCAAATGCCTTTTTCTGTGTCTATGGAGAAAAGCACATGGTCTTTCTTTCTTTATTGTTAGAGCTAATTTATGTGGAGACTACACTATATGGGACTACCCCTGCACCCCTGGAACAATCCTTATATGATCATGGTGCATTGGTTTTTTAAAAGTATAATGTTGGCTAATGTTTTATGTAGAATTTCTGCATCTATGTTTATTGATACATTCATCCAATTGTAGGACTCGATTGGCAGAAGTATGTGCACACTAAGGGTGTGTGAGCTGTGCGTGTGGGGCCTCCGTGGATCATGCTAGGACCTTGAATGGTCAGTGTGAAAACTTCTATCATAGAAGGCAGAAACTTTTCTTGACTCTGAGCAGTGTAGGGACAGAGGCATTTTGCATCTAAGAGATGCAGCAAGAATTGTAGCTTTTCAGGAGTGTGGCCTAGGAGCCTCCCCAGACACAAGAAAATGCATTTCTTGTCTTGGGACTCCTCTGCTTCTCCTTTGTTTAGAGGTTCTGTACTGAGTGCTCCCTGTGACTCTCAGTATCTCTCTCTCCCACTGTGATGTCTCTATGTCTCTGTCTTGATGCTTTTTTATCTCTGTCATTGTCCATTTCTGTCTAGCTCAGTGCCTTTGGGCAGGCCACTGCCCTTCTCTCACCCTCAGTCTCCCCCTCTTTGAAATGGGAACAAGCCCTTGAGTTTATAGCTTTGTGCAAATTGGCCCTGGAGGGTGCCTTGGTCTCAGTCATTCTCATTTTTCTCTATGCGGTCACTGTGCCTGAAGTTTGTGGTGCACCCTGGTGGTCGGAGGATGGGGGCGTGACCCGCCATTGGCCCTGGGAGGTGAGCCTCCGGATGGAGAATGAGCACGTATGCGGAGGGGCCCTCATTAACTCCAGCTGGGTGGTGACTGCTGCCCACTGCATCCGAGGGTGAGTGCAGACCATGTGTCCAGGGCCTGGAGACCCAGAGCTACAACGGGCCCAGCCCAGCTTCCTTATTTCCTCTGTGAAACAATGGGGGAGGAGAGGGGTTGGAAGAGCGTGGGAAGGGACATCCAGAATAGGGAAGAGTCATGCTCGGGAAGTCCGGGGGCCAGGGACTGAGCTGGGGCAGGAGCCCCAAGTCACAAAGAGTCTCCTAAACTGAGCAGCAAGAAAACTCAGAACACATTCCCTAGTGCCACACACAAGAGAACATACATGTACACCAACTACACCAACACCTCTGCACCTACATGTGCAACACACAGACCTGGTCACCTTGAATCAACTTAAGTGATGAATGAAGAGGCAGTCAGACCTCTGACCCTGAGGGCCCTTGGGATAGATCAGGCAAGATGGGGTTAACACAGCAAACCAGGCAGGACTTCTGCTAAGGGAGAGGGGCTGTGGGGGAGGTAAGAACATATTCGTGCTTGGGAACCTGATATTTACCAGGTGGAGCTCTCTATCTCCTGCAGCACCAAGGAGTACTCGGTGATGCTTGGCACCTCCAAGCTGCAGCCTATGAACTTCACCAGGGCCCTCCGGATCCCTGTGAAGGACATCATTATGCATCCCAAGTACTGGGGCCAGAATTTCATCGTAGGTGATGTCGCCCTTCTCCACCTTCACACTCCTGTCGTCTTCAACAACTATATGCAGCCCATCTGTCTCCCTGAGCCCAACTTGAACCTGAAGGTTGGGACACAGTGCTGGGTGACCGGCTGGAGCCAGGTTAAACAAAGGTTTTCAGGTGAGTGGGGTGGGTGGGAGGTGGGTGTGGTACCACAGAGAGCATACTCCTTTCCTTCCGGGACCTCTCCTGCTGGACCCCTCATGGTGCCTCTTGGGAAGCTTGTGTTTGTCACCTCTGGCCCCTGGTTCTTTGAATGTGTTAGGATCGACCACTCCTCATTGTCACTATTGATGTGAATACCTCATTCAGACCTAGCAGTGCCTGGGCTGGGCATGATCACCTGCCTCTTTTAGAAGCTCAGAGTTGGGGATTCATAAATTTACTCACTCACTCATTCATTCACTTGACAAACTTTGAGCATCAGCCACACCCCCAGCCCTTGGCATTGGAAATACATGCCCTGCCTGGAAGGAAGTCACAACTGAGCATGGGTAGGGGCGCATGCTGAGGAGGAAAGAGACAAAGACCTTGCCAGGTGGTCTTGAGGCCAAGCCGGGAGGGATCTGTGATGAGCTCTGGTCAGAGGGACTGCCTGAGATGCCTGAAGGAGGAGCAGGTGTTAGTCAGGTGGAAGAGGGAACAGCTAGTGCACACCAAGTTTGGAGTCTGGAGAAACGTGATACGTGGTTGGGGTCCCAACTTGTAAGGGGCTGCACTGGAACTTGGATTGTGGCCTGCTTGGTTCAGAAGCAGAAGCTTCCCAAGAAAGGGATCTTGAATCAGAGCCAGAGAGGGTGAGGTACTTGCCGGACAAGGTCTGCACTGCAGGAGGGTGGGGCAGGTGAAGGAGGTCTTGCAGGTGTGACAGGGTGTGGCTTGGCAGAGTCTCCAGGGTAGGGTGACAAGGCACTAGGCAGAGGTCAGGGCTGCGTGCAGTGAGGAGTTAGTGCTCACCCTGCTGGGCTTCTCCACAGCTGACTCCGTGCTGACCACAGAGCTGCAAGAGGCCGAGGTGTTTATCATGGACAACAAGAAGTGTGACCGGATCTACCACAGGAAGTCCATCTTCCCCCGAGTTATCCCCCTTGTCCTGAGGGACATGGTCTGTGCCACCAACTATGGAGAAAACTTGTGCAATGTGAGTTTCCGGGAGGTTCTGGCAGATCTCCTGCCAGGTGGGGGTAGTTCCCTGGGGAGGGGTTGGCCTGGCCTTCCTCTGTTACCGCCACCAGGCAGTGCTCTGCTCCCTCCTGCCTTCTCCTGAGACATTGATTTTGGGCATTACTCTGGAGTGGGGTCCTTAACAGAGGAGCCAAAGGAGGACCCCTGGGAGTGCGAACCTCAGGGAATGAAAGACTCTTCCAAGCAGAACTCAGAGGGTGGGCATTCTAGGTCCCTTGGGGCCCAGCAGGACCCACAGCCTCCGTCACTGCTCTCTTTGTCCAGGGGGATTCCGGGGGGCCATTGGCTTGCGAAGTTGAGGGCAGATGGATTCTGGCTGGGGTGTTATCCTGGGAAAAGGCTTGCGCAAGAGCAGAGAATCCAGGCGTGTATACCCGCGTCACCAAATATACCAAATGGATCAAGAAGCAAATGAGCAATGGAGCCCTCGCAGGTCCCTGCGCCTCTGCCTGGTTCCTATTCCTGTGTTGGCTGCTGCACTTCCGGGTGGGCCCCTGACATCCCCACCCCTTCTCTTCCTGCTTTGCCTCTGCTGAGTGGGGCTGGGTGGAGGTTGAGCAAGGTCATGTGTCCATATTCAGTGAGAGTCAGGGTGGCGAAAGAGTGGCCCCTGCAAGACTGGGTCCCACTTTGGCATCCCAGCAGGGAGAAGTGTGGTGGATGACTAGGCCTTGGGTGACCGGGAGAAGGGAAGTGTGGCCTGGAAAGGTCCTTGAATCCGGGACCAGGATAGCATGGATTAAACTTGTGCAAACCTGAGCTGGCTCTTTTCTCTTTTCTGTTCTCTGGGGTAGCCCTGGGTCTTGGGGGTGGGTGGGAAAGCAGGGCTTCCTGGAATTAGGTTTGCCAGGAGCCTCCCCGGAGTGGAGGCTGATTGTTTTCGCTGTATCATTAGTGCTGGGGCATAGGGAGAGGGCCTGGGCCTGTAGCCTCAGTTTCCTTATCTGTAAAGTGGGCATGCTGTAAGGGAGCAGTTGAAACATGCCCTGTAGGCTTGTAGGCTGACAGTAGGAATGACCCACAGATGGAACTCCAAAATTAGCTTTCTTCTTTCTTCTTCTCCTCCTCCTCCCCCTTCTTCTTTCTCCTCCTCCTCCTTTTTCCTCCTTCCTCCTCCTCCCTCTTCCTTCCTCCTCCTCTCTCCTCCTTCCTCCTCCTCCTCCTTCTTCCTTTATTTTTTTTTTAAAAACCTGATTATAAAAGTATTGCATATTCGTTGTAGAAAATTAGGAAACACAGTCAAGCCTAAAGAAAGGAAACATCCTCTGGAGTCCCACCACATGGAGCTATCCATTCTTCTCATTTTGGTCTATTTCTTTCTACATTTTTTTCTCTAAAAAAAAGGATTATGTGTAATATCGAAATACATTCTTGTTATTTACTAACAAAATTCAGAAGTATGTATAAAGATTCCCCTTCTTTCATCTAATCCCACTGCCAGTCCTCCTCCCATCCCCAGAAGTAATCATTATTAACATCCTTAAACAACAGCTTTATGATTTTTAAAATAAACGGAGTCTCTTATATATGTATTAATAACCAACACTTTAAAAAAGCATGTGACCTGAGATCCTTTCTGTGTCAGTACCTGGAGCATAATTTTACATGACTGCATGTGTTCTGTGCAGATGTAACACGTGATTTGGCCACCACCAGTTTTTAGGTTGTTTCTGACTTGTGAGCATTGCCATGGTGCTGCCACGAACACACTCCCACCCGTGCTGGGGGAGCATGCTTGGCAGCATGTCCACTGCTGTCTTCCCAGGGCAGAGACTGAGGGGAAGATGGTCAGGAAACGCAAATTTAATAATTTTGGATGAATACTATCAGATTCACCCCCTGTCCTCCAAAGCTGAACCAGTTTACATTCACACCTACAGTATATGAAAATGAATGTTTCCCTTTTGCTAAAAATAGATGTTATTGATCTTTTCAATTTTTGCCCATCCGATGGCAGAAAATTGTATCATTGCTGTTTTAATTTGTATTTTCTTTATTGGAAAAATGTTTTTTCATGTTTTTATTGAAAAAAAAGTATACTTTTGCTCTAGTAAATCCTCTGTTCATATACTTTGCCTATTTTTCTATTGGATTCCTTATCTTTTTCTATGCAAGGTCTTTATCTTTTCTGAATACTTATTAGCCTTTGTCAATTATTTTGAAAATATTTTCTTCAGTAAGCCACTTGTCTTTTAGAAATATGGGTAATTTTACCATAAAGCTTTTTAAAATTATCATGGAGTCATATCAGTCAGTCTTTATTTATGGGTTTTGTGCCTCTCCTAGGATGGCCTTCTCCATCTCCAGATTGTAAAAGCTGTTTTTTCTATTTTTTTTTTAATTTACGTTGTTTGTTTAATTCACCTGAAATTTCTTTTTATGTGTGGTGTGAGGTATGGCTCTATTTCTAACTGGAGAGCCAATTTCATTGACACCATTTCTTGTAGCGTCCATCTCTTTTCCTGCTGATTTGAATTTCCTCATTTATAATAATGAAATCCCAATATACTCATGGGTATGTTTTAACCCTCTATTATTTTCCCACTGATCTGTTTTTCTGGTCCCTGAGTTAGTGCTGTAATGTTTCAATCAGCTTTGTTATATTTTGTTGAATGGTAGCAAAAGCTCTCCTCTTCCTTTAAAAAAATTATTGCCTATTATCTTCTATGTAAACTTTAGAATTAGTTTGTCAAATTTCATTAAAAACACTATTGGTATTTGAATTGGAATTAAATACAGTGATTAATTTGGGGAGAACTATCACTTCTACAATGTTGAGTTCCTAACCAGGGATGTGGTATATGTCTCCATTCATTCAGCTCTTCTTCTGTGTCTTTTTCGTAGCTTTCCATGTGTTTTCATGGATAGCCGGGAAAATATTATGTTTATTGCTAAGTGTTTTATAAATTTTATGTTGTGAATGATATCTTTTCCCATTACATTTTTTCTAATTCTGTATGTTAGGTATTGTACAACTGTTGATGGAGTTTTTAAAAATAGTGATCTTGATTCCTGGCTGTCTTGCAAAACTGTCTTATTGATTCAGTGGTTTTTCAGTTGGTTCCCTTTGCTTATTTTTGCATAATCAAATTACTTAAAGTGGTGACAGGTTCATCTTATTATTTCTTTTTCTGATCTCATTGCCCGAGACCGCCATCCCACACAGTGTGAAACGGTAGCAATAACGGTGGGAGTACGTGTGCTGATTCTGACTTCATTCTTTCATCCATTCCATGGATATTTATTCAGAGTCTTCTCTGTGCCAGGCACTGTTTTGGGCCCTGATAATGCAGAAGTAAACTATTCAAATGATTTTGCGGATTTTCTTATTTATTTACATACTGAATTACATTACTAGATCAATAGTATTCCTGGGTAAATCCTATAATACACTGTAGATTTGCTGACATTTTGCTTAGACTTTTTGCCCCACTGTTGGAATTAGCCTACAGTTTTTTATTGTTGTTGTTGTTCTATCCTTTGTTCAAGTTTGGTGTCATTGCTATGCTAGCCTCTTAAAATATGTTGAACAGCTTTCTAGTATTTTCCCATGCCCTAGAGCAGTTTATATAACACCAGCATTGTCTGTTCCTTAGTTTTGGCAGATTGTGCACATAAAACTCACTGAACCTGATGCATTTTTTTTAGGGGATAAATCTTTGACTACTTAAAAAAATCTCTCTATAATTACTGGCCTAGTCACATATTCCACCTCTTTTTGGGTTAATTCTACTACAGTTTCCTAGGAAATCACTTAATTTACCCTAGATTTACAAATTTCAGATTGATGTATAAAATTTGAGTCTATGTTCTCTTTCCTATTTCTAATATTGTTCATGTATGTAGTCTCCCTTTTTCTTAATTATTACAGATTACAATTTCCAAAGTTCTATCTACTTCATAGGTATGTTCAAAAAGCCGTGTGGTTAGCTCTATGGTATCCCTCCTTCCCCTTCCTTTGTATTACCCCGTTCCTGGTCAGGGGCCCACCTCTGCCAGGCTGCCCATGTCCTTAATGGGGAAGCCGTCACTCTCCCAGCCCCCAGCTTGATCTACTCATGTTCTAGTACCCCAGCCACCTGCCCCTGGTGGGGTGCTGACTTGGGCTGTCCCAATCAGATAAGGCGTGGTTAGAGAAAATACATGCACACTGTCTCTGAATGTAGATAAGGAAGCGTGAGGAGATTGGCTGTTGGCAGCCATTCTTCAATAAGGGGAGCAACTGAGGCTGAAGCCGCCACTACTGAAGGCAGAGAGAAGAGATGGAAATTATAAACCTATTTGAGTAGAAATTTCTGTTACTTGGGAACTCCTAAATGGTATAAACTAACTTTTGGTTTTAGTGATCAAATCTGCTTCTTTTTGTTTATTTTATTAAACTTCTTTTAGTTTTAATAACTTCAACCTTCTACTTTTAGGGATTTATTTTATTGTTTTTTTCCTAACTTCTTGATTAGTATGCTTAGTTCATTATTTTAGACTTCTTTGGTTTCCAATATTTTCACTTAATTACATAAATTTTCCTTTGAGCTCCACTTTGGCCATATTTCACAGGATTTTATTTATACTGGCTTCATTGTCATTAATTTCTTTGTTGTTTATAATTTCACACTATATTTCCTATTTAACCCAAGAGTTATATAGAAGGATGTTATTTAATTTCCCAGTGGATAGTTTTGGGGAGAAGCGAGGGATTCTCTTTTTTTTCTCTATGTTGCTACAGTCATGTGCTGCATTATAATGTTTCAGTCAACAACAGACTACATATACAACGGTGGTCCCCTAAGATTATAATGAAGCATGTATAGAAACCTGATATGTGGCACTTGATATTAGCATTGCAGATCAAATAGGGGAAATGATTGATATTCAGTAATGGTGCTGGAACATTTGGTTTTCCATATGAAAAAATATATATAAATAAAAATATATATACCATCTAGGTTTGTGTAAGTCTACTTTATGATGTTTGCACAATGATGAAATTACCCTACAGCACATTTCTCAGAATGTATCCCCATTGCCAAGTGATACATGACTATATATGGATTTAATTATTTCTGTATTTTGGAATTTATTGAGGTTTTATTTGTGGCCTAGTATTTTGTCAGTCTTTGTGAATGTTTGATGTGCGTTCAAAAGTGTGTTTCAGAACAAAGTTTGAGCTACAACGGATTGGATCAGGCTTGTCGATTGTGTTATTTGAATCCTTTCAACACCTCAAATATTTTATGGCTACATAATCTGTTGATTTCTTAGAGGTTTGCCACAAAAATTATTTGGCTACTTCTTGCAGTTTTAACAATTTTTGCTTTATATGTTTCAAAACTGTGTTGTTAGGAGTACAAGGTTCATGCCTGCTCTTCCATCTTAGTGGGTTCCACCCTGTTAATATAAAGTATGCCTTTTGTCCTATTTAATATTACTTGTTTTTTTCAAAGATCCATCACAGGGTTCATTCTTCATTCTGGCTGTTCTTCTAATTGATTAAGGTATAATTCTGCATTTTGTACTTGTTAGCTACAGGCTTTCCTCTTGTTTATTTTTGTACCTTTTATGGTTTCTTGATTTGAGTATTTAATTCATTTATTTTCATTTTTGTTATTCAATAATAAATGCCTTGGGTGGGCGCGGTGGCTCACTCCTGTAATCCTAGCACTCTGGGAGGCCAGAGCGGGCTGATCGTTTGAGCTCAGGAGTTCGAGACCAGCCTGAGCAAGAGCGAGACCCCGTCTCTACTAAAAAAAATAGAAAGAAATTA